CCTATGAACGTTCAGGGCTTCCCTCTTCATCCGGGATTGTCACACTTGGTGTGATCATTGCTTGATGGCCGACATCCGAGTCGATAATTGCTGCAATTTCATCACGTGCGTTGGATGTTGGCGTGATGATTGCTCGACCATCTGACGCGTTGGCCCGGGTGTTGGGAAGAGTGTGCACCAGTGCGCTCCCCGCGTGGCCAATTACTCCGCCTAGACGAAGTCTCAGCACGCTGTATTGAATGGGAAGATCGTTGCACTTGTTGATGGACTGGGGGCCAGTAAACCATGATTCCAGTAGCTCCCGGCTCACTCGGTTGTCACCTCTTGCGAGAATTTCGGCCTCATCGAATTTAAATGTGTGGCCGGATCTCGTCGAATGAGCCGCAACTTGAGAGCTGGCGTCATTTCTGCGCACCGCTGCCGCGTGTTCGGCCATTCTCGTTCGGAGCGGTCTTCTGGTTTCTTTGACGTAGTTCCTTTGTCTGCAACTGCACCAGATCCGATAAACGACTGCAGACGTTTCTAGTCGTGGCAGTGGGTCTTTCGGTTTCATGATCAGACGCCTAATGGTTGCCTCCGGTCTGTGTGCCACTCCAACCCCAAGTGGTGCGAGAAGGCGGCCGACAGCTTCGGAAACGTTCTTGACATACGGAAGTGCCTGCCAAGACTTGGTGTCCGTGCGGTTAGGCCTTTCGTCCCTTTTGCGTATGCACCGGTCGACGAAGTTGCGCGGGTAGCCATTGGCTTTGAAGACCCGTCGGAGTTATTGTAGTTCAGCAATTTTGTCTTCCGGCTCACTGCAGTGCGTTTCGACACGCCGATAGAGCGTCCTTACACAACTGCGTTTGTGGCTGATTGGGTGGTTACTGTTGAAGGTCAGTACTTGCATCGTATTTGTCGCTTTCCTGAACACTTTGGTCTTTAGTCCACCACAATCCTTGCTGCATACGAGGACATCCAGGAAGGCCAGCTGGTTGTTCTCTTCCTCCTCCATCGTAAATTGAATGTCCGGGAAGTCGGCGTTGAGATGTTCTTGGAATGTCAACACCTGATCCCGTTCGATGACGACGAAGGCATCATCCACATACCGGGCCCAGAATTTCGGTCTGTGGTGTTGGAAGACCAGCGACTCTAACAGTTGCATGACCGTCTCGGCGATGAATCCCGAAATCGGCGAACCCATTGGTGTGCCCTTCACCTGTTCGTAGATTGTCCCGTCGAACGTGAAGTACGTCCTGAGACAGAGCTTCAGGAGCTGAAGGATTTGGGCGTGTCCAAGACGGTTCTCCGTTTCATCGTATATGCTTTGTTGTAGCAGCTCAATTGTCTCGATCGCCAGGTCCTGGGGAATAGAAGTAAAAATGGGATGTAACATCAAAAGATACCATGACCTCATTTGGATGGATGCTTACCCCTTTGAGTTTCTCCAGGAATTGTGCTGACGAAGAGACCGTGGTGTCTGACTCAGCGGTCAGGAACTTGAGACGCCGGAACAGCCACTTAGCCAGTCCGTACGTTGGAGTCCCTTTGAGCGACACGATGGGTCGGAGAGGAGCGCTGTCTTTGTGCACCTTAGGGAGGCCATAGAATCGGGCCAAAGCCGTATCTTGGGGTCTCGCCATGCGTCTGTCGGTCGGTGATATTGCACCTGAGTTCTCCAAGGCCAACAAAGTAGCATTAATTTCGCGTGTCAGCGCCTTTAAAGGATTCGTTGCACATGGGACATAGAACTGTCGGTCCTCCAGTAAACCTTTGGCTTTTTGAAGGTAGTCTGTCCTGTCCAGTACAACTGTGGCGCGTCCTTTGTCCGCTGGCACAATGACCAGGTCTTTGTCGGCCTTGAGTTCTCTAAGCGCATCACGTTCGACCTTGGAAAGCACTTCCCGCGGCCTGTGGGCCATCAGGAGAGACGACATTTGGTGTCCGATGAGGTTCTTAGTCTCCTCCGTTGCCTCCGTCT